ACACACATACATATGATTCATGGAACAAAAAGCTTATTGAACAATGTTCAAGGCCACAAAAGTTTTCATTATCTTTGAAACATTTTAATATTGTTCCTGAGCTTTACTGGTGTCACTTCCAATAAAATATTATTTGATAAACTCAACTGCATTACTATCATGATTGAAAAGAGTCAAAATAACTTAGTGATTAAATGACAGCTTTTGTTGGACTATGCTGTCCAATTACTTAAAATTCTTTGCAATTATTCAATGATAATTCATTAAACTTGTTTTACCCAAAAGACACAAATCTGATGTGCTGCTCTCAGTTAGCAGTATATATAGCAGAGTTAAAGAATGTGTTTCCACAATTATTCCAGTTGTAATTAGCCTTTCTTTAAATTTTGAGTCTATATTGTGCTTTTTTTTTCTTTATTTGAGGCAGGGTTTCTCTGTGTAGCTTTGACTGTTCTCGAATTCACTTTGGAGACCAGATACCAGCCTAGCCACAAACTTACAGAGATCTGCCTACCTCTGCCTCCCACGTGCATTGTGTTTCATCAAAACACCATTTTTTAAATATCCTTCAAAATCTTAACATTTACAAAACCACAATATTTTCCAGATATTATCCTAGGTGTCTTTAAATCTAATGTCTGCGGTTGCCCACATGGAAGCCAAAAGGTGATTTTGTTTATGTAATATGTTAAGATGTAGCCTATATATTTTAGTAAATGTTCATATTTAATGCATTATACACATATTTCAGTGAATGATATATTTACTGAAATATGTGCTTTTTTTTGGGGGGGGGGCTTTTCAAAAGTACACCGGTTATATGTATGTATTTTTTATTCTGAGGAAAACTTTTTTTTGTAAATTGAATTATATAAATCCTAAGTCTACTATTTTATGTGTTCTGACAAATGTAAAAATACATGGAATAAACTTGAAAATCAAAACATAGAAACAGTTTAGTAACTCAGCACAGTAGAAAGTTACCTCCTGGCATCCTCAGCTGGTTCCTTCTGGGGAGAGAAGTGCCTCGTTCTGTCAACACAGATCTCTTCCCTGAAGACTGATATAAGTAAAGACACATTCTGTGCCACTGTGTCTGACTTCCTTCCTTCTGCATGATGTTACATACTCGAGTGCTCTGATTAGTGGTTTATACATTAAAAATATATATTAGTTGGTTTTATATTATTTCATTCTATGAACAGCCTATAGAAAATCTCCTGTTTAAAATATCATTTACAGATTAGGGCATTATGAAGCAAGAAAACATTATTGTAGACTAATTTTTGGCTTGTCAATCCCCTGGATAATTGCTGAGGATAGACAGGCCATGTCAGAGATACCATGATACGTGCAACTTTATAATTAACAACCTGAAAATTCCCAAGTTGTTCATGTCATAGTGTGTTTCTATATTTCTGTGGTTTAGACATTAAATAAACTCAGAAATTCAGGTGCTGAAGCTCCCCACCATGCCCCTTAGCAAGAAACAATAGAATATGACTCTTCTGAAGTGATGAAGTCATTTGTGGACTCATAGCTTAATGGGCTGTTGGTTGGTAACAGAAACTATAAAAACTGGGGCTTAGGAGAAGGAACTTGATCCTTTGGAGGCAAGTCCTTGAAAAGCATATTTTGTTCTTAACCTTTTCATTTTTTCTGTCTTTGTATTTCCTGGAAGCTATGAGGTGAGAATGTATCACATATTCCAGAAGGTGGTCCTGCCTCAGCATAAACTCAGAAAGAAGACCAAGTAACATTAAATTTAACACTGAAACCAAAAACAACACACACAAACACACACACACATACACACACACACACACACACACACACACACACCACAAACAAGCAAACAACAACAAAAACCCAACAAGTTCCAAAATTCTTCCTTTAAGTGGTTTCTTTCATGTATTTTGTCACAGAGACAGAAAATGAATGAAATAGCAACACATGCTATTGTTAGTCTTTCTGACTTTGGCTGGTTGGGTGTAGGAAAGTAGTGATTACCAAGCAATTTTTAGTTGAATTGCTCATTTACCTAGTGATGTAGAGCATGTCATGAAAGGGAATGAATATTATGTAGTGGTATTGTGTTCCCCAAAATATTGTGTACCTTAATAAACTTATCTGGGGTCAGAGAATAGAAAAGCCACTAGTTAGGCAGTGATAGCACACCCCTTTTATCCTAGCATTCCAGAGGCAGAAATCCATCTGGGATCTCTGTGAGTTCAAGGCCACATTGGAAACAGCCAGGCATGGTGACTCACCATGCCTTTAATCCCAGGAAGCAAGCCTTTAATCCTAGGGAGTGATGGTAGAAAGCAGAAAGATATATAAGGCGTGAGGACCAGAAACTAGAAGCATTTGGCTGGTTAAGCATGTGGCTGGTTAAGCTTTCAGGCTTTGAAGCAGCACAGTTCAGCTGGGATTCAATCTGGATGAGGACTCAGAGGCTTCCAGTCTGAGGAAACAGGACCAGCTGAGGAACTGGCAAGGTGAGATAGGTGTGGCTTGTTCTGTCTCTCTGACCTTCCAGTATTCACCCCAATAACTGGCCTCGGGTTTGATTTTATTAATAAGAACTTTTAAGATTCCTGCTACAATATTATGCAATTGAAATTCAATATTAAAAATAATTTAGAGAAAAATGGTTACTCTCTAGTAAAATTGTTTGAGGTGGAAGTTGACTATGAAATTTACATTGTACATTATTCATCTTTTAATATATATTTTTAACTGTCTACTGTCAGATGTCAGGGCAAACATATATAATATACATGCATTTTAGTTTTGTGGAACGGCAATCCTTGTATAAGTTAATCCACCAAAATAGGGAATAAATTTTTCTTCTCTCATTTTAAATTGAATCATTCTGAAACAACTTTGCATAAATGGCATGTTAAATTAATTCTAATTGTATTTGCTTATACAATGATAAATGTTTGATAAATTTTTTGGATTGATTTGTACAAAAACATGAGGGTTGGATGTCATGAGAAAATTTCATTTTAAAAAGTTCTTTGTTGATTCAAGAAAGCTCTAATTCTAACATAATTACTATAAAATAAGTTGCTACTTTACAGAATGTCAATGTGAGTGCTGTGATTAGATAGACAAAAAATTAAATGTGTACTGAAAATATGAGTGTATTCTCAAATTCTCAGGTTATCAAAAATGGAAGTTTTATGAATGACAACAGATCTGTGCATGTGTTGTATTCTCAATAAATAATATTATTGCTCCTTTTTTCATTGTAGCTTTTTAATAGTGAATAAGTCCTATAATATTTTAAATCTGCCTGAATCTATCTATACATTACATAAACACAATTATGTGTGTATATATATGCATACTATGTATGTATGTATTTGTGTATGATGAATATGCTTCTGATTATTATCTGAGAAATTTAAACTTTCATTACCTATTAGCAGAAAGCAGAAGAGTAAAACCAAAAGTTAACAATATTAGAATTTTGGAAAAGCAATCTCACCCTTATAACTGTAATAATTAAATGTTAATCATTCCTCATTTTTGTAATGTAAATGTCCTCTTACACAATCTAGATTTGCCCAATAAGTCAAAGTTATTCTGAGCCAGTTTATATTGAAGTCACATGGTGTGAGGTTATTTCACTCACTGTAATATTTCACATGAAATCATTTTTCATTAAGTGGTAACAGTGAATTTTATTTAATAAACTAGAAATTTTCTCTTAACACTTTCATGATTTCAGCAATTCTATTTACACTCTGGTTCATTCTCAACAAGGATAATAAAAAGTAACAATTGTTTAATGTTTCTCTGTTGCTCCATTTTTAATTCTGGATAAATGCCTAAAATTGACTAAACTGTATTCAGCAGGATTTGCAATTGAAAAAGTTCTGTTTCTTGTTAATTCCATTCTACTCCCTTTTTTGAGTGTTCAATATGGGCAAGCCGATGAGCTTAATTCTTAGCTATAAGATGTAGGAGAGAAAATCTGCAGACTCGTAATGCTCATACAGTAAGTGGGTACTAGTGTGCACATATTTTTGGAATTCAATCGTTAAGACGATGTAAAAATGTTCAGCAGGCCTAGAGCATAAAATTTTTCATATAATACATTGAGCAAAGTTATTTCACAAATATTAATGCTACAGCTTTTCATTTATTACCTTCAAGAAATACAAACATTTGATTTCTTTTGTTTTCATCAACTCACTTAGCTCATGTCTATTAACAATAGTACTGACTGTTTAACACCCAGAAAGGCAGTTTCCAGAATTTGTGAAGCATAAATTCTTCAAATAGCCTATGTTTTGATGCTGTCATGTTCCGCATAGCTTGCTTTTGACTCCTATGGTTCTCTGGAGCACTGTCACTGGTTACTACTAGACAGGACCTCACCTCAATTCATCCCAAAACTAGCATGCCAATTGTAGCATATGCTTGCCTAAGATAAAGGAAACTCTTTAGCTACTTGTTATAAATGCGGGGTAACCACATAGATTTTTAGCATTTTAATAACAAAAGAAAAATGGTCTTTGAAATAAAGACTTCATGATGATATTTCTGATCTCTTGGGTTCAAACAAAAAGACAAAGCCAGAGCATCATTCTCTATATCCTTCGTCTTTTTTTTTTTTTTTTTTTTTTTTTTTTTATAAATTCCTGTCACTAAAGTTTAGAGTCCACTCTCTCCCTGTTTTTAAAATTTGGGAATCCAAAAAGAATACAAATGAACATCACATAATGCTTACTCTGCCAAGACATCAAATTATAAAGTAAATAACAAGAGATAAATACATTTTAATAAGTCAGAATTTCCTAGATTTTAAATTAAGAGGAGGACATTGGTGGATTTTCTGACATAACTAAAGCTCTTACATCTTGAAGTAGGAAACAGATTTTTAGCCTTTGGGTAGGCATGCAGTTGCATACCACAATTGCAATGCCACACTGCCACATTTTATCTAGGAATACTTATTATAAGTAATTGTAGTCAGTGAAATGATTAGCTGTCTTACTTTTGTTAGCATAGCTCTCTGAGCATCTGTAAGATCAGTACTTAGATTTATTTATGTCACCTTGTATTATTTTAGAATGTTTATCTTCTTTAGATACTACTGTGTTGCATGAATCTTCTGTAGGTAGAGGATGAGACTCTTAACCTCAAGGTCATGGGTTCAGACCCCACATTGGGTGCCAGATGTTGCATGAATCCTAAATGGTCCTATAATAAAAACCCAGAGTCAAATATTAGTGTGAAAGCTGAAAGATCAGAGAAGCAGAGCAAGCCACAGCCACCACCTCTTACCTCACCAGCTCCTCAGCCTCTAAGAGCTTGAGATCCTATCTCCTACTGACTTGTATTCCTATATCTGCCCAGCCATATCACTTACTGTCTCAACCTTCCTAGGGCTGGGATTAAAAGTGTATGATCCCAAGTGCTGGAGTTAAAGGTGTATACCACTACTGCCTGGCTCTGTTTCTCTTTAGACTGGATTAATCTCTTGTAGCCCAACATGGAGCATGGTCTTGAAAACACAGAGATCCAGATGGAGCTCTGCCTCTAGAGTGCTAAGATTAAAAGTGTGTGCCACCACTGCCTGACCTCTATGGCTAACTCTGTGCTTAGCTCTGTACTCTGATCTTCAGGCAAGCTTTATTTCTTAGATTACAAATGTATCACCACACTATCATACTATTTTCATAGGTTCTTTAAAGATTTCATTCTGTTATTACTAATTCTTAGTTTATGGGATTATTTTATATTTAGTTTAAGATTGTTTACATTACTATCTTACCAGTAATGTGTATGTGTGTGTGTTGCAAATATTCCAGTTCTAACATACTGAACTGTTTTATTTTAATGAGAAGTAAAAGTTGTAAGTAATATCATTTTTTCTTTTTCTAAATTAAGCAAATCTATCATAGCATAAAAGACATACACCTGATTTTTTCAAAAAAATATTTTATTGAGTTACTAAACCTTTTAAACCCTAGTTTTATGGTAATATATTTTTAGTAATCATGATTGAAATATTTATTTCAAAATAAATTAATAATATATTCTTACTAAATGAGTTTAAACTATTTGAATTGTTCCATTGTATTTAAAAACAATATATTTTATATGCTGTGATTTAATGTTCTTCCTACAACTGAAAAAAATGAAAGATTGTCCTTATATTTCTTTACATTTTCATACAAAGCATTTAAAATTTATAATTCCATAGAAAGTGATCAAATGAAAAGTAAATAACAGAGGTACTTCTGTATTTGAAGCACTGAAGCCTTGCACTCATGATATACACAAGTCTAAGATGAAAAGAAAAAAGAATGGTTTATAAATCTATCTTTTAAAAAATGTTTATGGCCTGGCAGTAGTGGTGCACAACTTTAATCCCAGCTCTCAGAAGCAGAGGCAGGTGCATCTCCATGAGTTTGAGAACAGCCTGGGCTACAGAGTGAGTTCTAGGAAAGGCTTCAAAGCTACACAGAGAAACCCTGTCTCAAAAAAAAATATATGACATTTCCAAAAGTCAAAATGTATTTCCTCCTGAACCTTTAAACATGTTGGAATGATAGTTTTATCAGACAAGACAAATGAACTCCATCCCTAGTTCTGTATTAAGAAGTGTTTCTTTCAAATGTGATGTGAAATTAATACATTTTTATATTTATGAGATCTATAAAATGTCCTATAAACTGATGATGTTCAATTCGAAAGTTGTCACTTTAAAAAACGAATGCATCTTGTGTGTTATTCAGGAACCATGAAGTATTATCCCACAGAAATCCACTGCAGGTCTGTTGATGTAAAACATGCTTACAATGATCATGGCTTTATATAACAAGGAAGTAGTAGCGATCAAGGAAGATTTGTAACTAAAAGATTACAACTAGGGCTCTATTTCACCTCCTTCAGTTTCATTGCCTACTCCTTCATTGTTATTATTGTCACATAAAATGTGTGTTTCATATGTGTTTGCTTTGCATGTATTTGTTTGATTTCAAAGTTTTACCTAGTCTTTCTTTCACTAAAATGTCCATTTGTGTTTTCTCTTATCCAAATGTATACAGCCTGACTTATACATATAAGTGTATGATTTACTGGGTGAAACTCTCTATCCTTATAGAGCTTATACATTTATGAGGAGTGACACAAAAGTGAGGAGTTTACACATTTATGAGGTGAAAAGTCAGACCTTCCTCTGATGAAGGCATGTTAACTTTTTTGTTCACCATCCATACCTGTCTGCATCTACCAAGTCCTAGTTAGTTTATCAGATACTATTCGGTATTTTGAGGGTTTTTCCCCCCATCCATATCAATTGCATTTTTAAAATTTGATTTTTAAAGTAATCTTCACATTAATGCCATTGGCCCTCTCACTGGGCGGTGAGGTTCTAAACATGTTTATTCATTGCCTTTCCCCTAGTGCTTGGAATATGCCTGCTATATGAGAGATGATTAAATATTTTAAGCTGTATGAGTGGAGGAGATGGCTCAAGGTGCTAGATAAGGTTCAGCCTATTTATATCAGGAGCTTCTACACTGAGGAAAGCTCTGTGTCCTCATGTTACTCAATGTCTCTATCCTATCTCTAGATCTTTTTATGCCTGTGAAAATTCTCTCCAAACCTTTAAAAATACCCTCAGCAGAATCAAATCTAAATGATACTTTTCACTGAAAAGCCTGATTCTATCTATCCAGCATCACTATCCATTCCAGGAGCTCCTATCTCGGTCAGAGACCACATCTGTGATAGAAGAGAAAGCATGATATATAAAAATTTAATAAGGAAAAAGAAGTTCATGAGAGAATAATGGAACAGAATGTCTTCTGTCAAGGATGCCAGACCTGGTCAGAATATTAAGATGACAGACTAGTTCATATTTCTTATTTATTTCTTTCTAGTGGAAAAAATGGCTAAATATTATTTCTAAGTAACAATGGGCTATAAATGCAGTAACCTATCCAAAATGCTACATACTTCTTTAATTAAAACAATTAATATACTTAGTAGGAACTATCATTAGGTTTATCAGAAGTGCTTTGTGACTGATGAGGATTCTAAGACAGGACAATTATGTTGGAATTCAGAGGAAGCCACTTCATATTTCAGGTACTCTGGTTCTTTAATTTCAAAATTTATTTACTCTGAGGGAACCACAAATTATGTCCTAGCTTACTATCATTTATCCAAATGAGTAGTATGTGGAGTTTAAAAGTTTGTTATTACTGGTTTTTAAAAATGTATTCATAACATAAGGAACATTTTTAGTATGTGTGAAATGCATGATTCAAAATGAACACTGACCAAGATTGATCTTTTAATCTTTTAGATTGGTTTTTAGCTGATAAGAGCAATTTTACAAAATTCTAAATTAACTCAAATGATTTGACTTACATTTGGTAGTATTTTATTTTGATATGGAAATATAGATGATAGATATGGTAGGATAAAAGGATGGACTGTTAAACCTACTTTTAAAGAGCAACTTGTTTAAAATGTTTTGCATTGGTATAGATTTTAGTTTATTGATACAAATTTAAAGTTAATTTTGTTATACTTTATGTATATTTCTACTCTTATTTACATATTGTTAGTGCAGCTCATTTAAATTATAATGGATAATTAAGAAATACAGATTAATAATTAGTCTTCTATGATAGTCAAACTTATAGTCACATTAAGTTTTCTAGGTATACATAAATATAATTCAATTAGGTAGATAATCTTCAAACACTTCAAAGTCCTACAGAATATGGCATTTAAAATGTTTTAAAAACTTGGACTTTCTGGACAGTGAGACATGTCTGCTCCTGGCAGCACCGATTTACTACAAAGAGAAAGATGGGCACCAAAGACACTCCATATGGAGTTTATCTTCTTCTTGACAAAAATAGCCACTTGGGCAAGACACTGTTCTTGCCTGGACTGCGGGACAAAATATTGTATTGACTGGACATATAGGACCCATAGTAAGTTGACCACTGAACTTTATAAGGCAAACTGGTCCTTCGGGTTCCTGCTTCACAGAAGAAACTGCCAGACATTCTACAGGACACAGAGAAAAATGACTGAGGGGCTCTAAGCCTATTGGCTAAAAATGGATGCCCCAACACTACAAAAGAACTTTAGGTGACTGTCCAGGCAAAGAGTTGTCTCTGTCATTCTAGATTTTTGGAAGTTGCTTACAAAGCTTCCTGTTTACTTAAGTAATAATATATCCTTCTGAGGTCTTTGATGTACTTGAAGACTAGATGATTATAATTATAGATTTGTTTGGTTATGACAAGAGATAAGGTAGATATGAAACATTAGACTCACAAATATAGGATAGATAGAATATCTTCTTTAATTTTACCAAATACAAACAGACTAGATATTATAACTAATTTTTGCTTGGTATATGTAATTTTACTAGGTTAAAGTTAAAACTTTCCTATTGGTTAAAAGGAAAAGGGGAAGGGATGGGGGAATGTCTTTCTGTATGCTGTGAAAATGTGTTGCTCTGATTGGTTGAAAAATAAAGTTGTTTGGCCAATGGTGAGGCAGAATAAAGTTTGGTTTGACATTCTAAAGAGAGAGAGAGAGGAAGAAAGAAAACAGAGCAGGGGAGATGCTGCTAGCTACCGCCAGAAGAAGCAAGATGCAAAGGTTCTGGTAAGCCACAAGCCACATGGCAAAGTATAGATTTATAGAAATGGGTTAGTTTAAGATATGAGAACTAGATAACAAGAAACCTGACATGGCCATAGTTTAAAAACAATATTAGCCTGTATGTTTATTTGGGTCCCAGTGGCTGTGGAACTGGAAGATAAGAGAGATTTGTCCTGACTGCAGGCCAAGTGGGACACAGGAAAACTTCCAGCTACATTATTTCTTTGAGTTTTCATATATAAAAATGTAAGAACCTATTTATTCTACATATCCATACGGTTCACTATGATCTTTCCATAATGAAGTCTGATTTTAAATGTGTACATATCAGAAATGATATTTTATTAATATATACAACAGATTATAGTTTTCATGGAATCTTAAATGTAACATCTTTTTTCCTCAAAAATTAAAAATGAACAAAACTAAAACAAAAGACAAAATATTAACCATTGGCTTTTAAGAATATGCTGCCTTACAGCAAACCCAAATGCTATTATGTTCACTGACTTTTAAAAAACCTAGTCCACATCATTGTTCCATGCAAATAGCAATAACTATACAAAAACATCAATGATACACTGTTTCTTTTTGAAGACTGACTTTCATAGGTCATTCATTGTCTTTAAGATACAGTCTTGTCAATGCTCACTACCCTGATAAATGAGTCACCAGAAATCCATATGCTATTGGGCAAACTTTTAACTATCCTAATTATTCTGTCTAATACTCTTATCCTCAAGTTTCAGGATATTTTCCTGATTCTGAACTGCATTTGCCAGTCTTAACTTCATTACTGTCTTCTCTCATGTACACATGGGTTTATTTCTTTAACTCACTGCTGATGTACTTTTGAACTACTCCTGTAATATCTCAACTCTTAAAATGCAGGCACTTCATTGATTTTGTCATACTGTTCTTTAATGCCTCATGCTTCAAGCTGAATTCAGGTCAATAGCCTCTTGAAATCAAGTCTATTTGGTTTCTCCTTTGAGTTTTAAAATTTTCATTTAATGAATGACTGTGGCAAGGTCCTGTGCTGTTGTTCCCTTTTGGGGGAGGAGGCCAAGTAGGCACAGAGTCAATGACACAGACATGTTGAAACAACAAGCTCAGATTATTCATGAAGAGGCAAGCCTTATATAACCTCCACTCTACCCCAGGGGAAGGTGTGATGAATATGCATCTGCTGGTGTGACATGGTTGCCTCTCATTGGTCCAGATCATCTCTAGATCATGTCTCAGCTGCTGTTGCTAAGGCCCTTAGGCAGACCCAGGTTGGCTCTCACAAAGTATCTTATTACTGGTTTTGGCCAGCTGGGCCTCAAGCCTGTTAGAGATGAGTTATCCCACATTTCCACCCCTTTTTATTATTTTATGGGACATGCTTAGTGGGTGCATTACCTTAACCTTGTTGACCCCACCTTAAGAAAGCTCAGCATAATGGGCCGTGCCTGACTTACGTTAGCTTGCCAAACAAGCCCATACCCACCTTTGACTACCAGCCCTTGAAGAACATCAATCCTGGAGAGCTGTCCAGGTGGTGGGCTTTAGGCAGTAGCCTTCTGTATCTCAATGAGCCATGCATGCATTATATTTCTAGAAGGACTTTGATCTTGGTGTATGAGAGCCAATAAAATCTGTAGGATCATCTTTGTGGCTGCCTTCTATTGGTGAACCTGTTGTAGAAGACATTTGAACAGAAGAAGGATTAGTCAAAATTTCAGTCTCAAGGACATAGATGGGACCCTAGTCATATTTATATGAAATGTGCCAATTGAAGTCTTTCTGGTGATGCATTAGCAACCTTGTAGGGGGTGAGACAATTGCTTGATATCTAGGGTCATATGCCAGTAATGACATGACCCTTACTAATGCCTCAGTTGTGTGTAGCTGGAGTTTTTCTGGTCTCACCCAGCTCCTGTGGTCCCATGGTCCTGCAGCCACTTGGATCCAAATAAACACACTGAGGCTTATATTATTTAGAAATGATATGGTCTAATGGCTCAGGCTTCTCGCTAGCTAGCTCTTACATCTTAAATTAACCCATTTCTGTACATCTATACCTTGCCATGTGGCTTGAGGCTTACTGGTACTTTCCATCTTGCTTCTCCTGGCAGCAGCTAGCATTGTCTCCGCTGCTCCTCTTTCTTTCCTTCTCTCTCTTTCTTTAAAATGTCCCACCTAACCTTATCCTGCTTCACCATAGGCCAAACAGCTTTATTTATCAACCAATCAGAGCAACACATATTCACAGCATACAGAGTGACATCATGCATCAGTAGTGGGGCAAATTATACATTACCCCTCTGGAGCTTCTTATTTGGCCACAGTTTCTCAGTCTGTTGCTGGATGCACATCTCTGGAGGGTATCCATATTGGCACAGTGGTATTTTGTGGAAAAATGCAAGCATATCCTTGCCACCAGGTTAATAGGGGAGCAGGGGTTTGCCATTGAAGGGTGTTGGGATCGCTCCAATTACCCAAGGCAGGTAAATAAGCATGTTGTCCAATTTGGACTTATGTGACAGGGATAACATATGGTCCTTGAACTGTGAGCATCTCAAGAGAAACAGCAATGTTGTAATGTATATTAAAAGGAGCCTGAGCCTCAGCCAGGTCATCATAGGCAGTGTGCCAGTTAAGGAAGACCACAGGCTCCAATACAGCCTTCATCAAATGGTACTAGCAAATTTAAGTCTATAAATTCATTGCCCATTGCCATAGGACTTGCTCAACATACGTCGAGTCAGGAACTGATTCATTAGTGGCCTTATGGACCAAGGGCAGTTCTGCAAGAGGGATAGGTATCTATGGCTAGTAGGTCACACTAGAGCCCATGGAATGCCATGGTAGGCACATGTGGCACCATGGTTGGAATAGGCTGGGAGGTATGTGGAGCAGTTAACTCAGCAGGCAGACATCACTCTGTGGATTCTGCATTGGGGTGGGTAGGCACTCAAAGTGTGGGGGTGTAGATGTATCCAACCATCTTATTAAATAAGAAACATGAACCAATATAAAAGAGAAAGCCAAGAGGTCAGAGCTCAGAGCCAAAATCTTACCCTTCCTCCTGCCAGCTCCTAGCTTCCCAAAAGAGACCTATTTGCTGTGTGTAACTCTTTTCATAGTCTTTTGTTCTGCCTTCTCATTGGTTGTAAACCCAAACACGTGACTGCCTCATCTCTGTCTGTATGTTCAGCCCACCAGGTCTTAAAGGCATATGTCTCCAATGCTGGCTGTATCCCTGAACACACAGAGATCACCCTAGCTCTTCTACCAAGTGCTGGGATTAAAGGCGTGTGCCACCACCGCCACACTCTTGCTATGGCTCTAATAGCTCTGACCCCCGGGCAACTTTTATTAACATACA